GTGTGTGTGAGAGAGAGAGAAAGGGGGCATGTTAGTGGATTCCCCTTCTGGCCCCATTTGTAACACAAATGGTGTCCAATGGAAGCAACAGGTGCAGGCTTTAAAGGTGACCTATAGACAGGAGCAGGTATCCCTCTGCCTGTTATCTTAACAAACAGGAAAAAAACTAACCAGTACGGAAAAGCTGTAAATTAAAAAAATAATAATAATAATTGCAAATCCATTTTTCTGTTCCAATCTTTATATAAGTGAGTGATTCAGTAATGGACACACATGTGGTCGTACCGGTGTAGAGCAACAAACTTTTTTTTCTGTTCCATCCATGAATGCAAAGCAGCGCTGCAGACTTGCTCCGTCCTACTTTTCCTTACTAAGGATATTCCATTCAACCCTTGACAATTAGGCACTTATGACTCAAGTAGGGGGGTTACCGATGATTTATGTTTTATGGCCACGGAAGAATCATGATGTAAGAAAATGATTTTTCCTTCAGACTTCAAAGCTTCAGATCCCTGGATCTGAAATTCGCACATTATTTTCTACTGAAGAACCAACTGCGATCCAGTGAACTGTCAAAGTTGGTGACAATTCATTTCAAGACTTGTCCTGAATAAAGTTTGCAAAGAGGTTTTTTTTGTAAATCTTGGACAATGTGTTTCTAAAAAAAAAACCTCCAGAATGATCTCACCCAATGAAAAAGACAAAACTTGGTTTGAGGTTGTTTGACAGAAGTGGTCCTGCTGAATATGAGTGTGGATGAATTGTGGAGAGTGAAAAACTTGCAGTGTGGGGGCAGTTTTTTTGGGGGGGAGGGGGGTGTGAAGGACAGTGAAAGCCTGCAGGTTTCTGAAGAGTGCTCTGCTGAAATGTTTTGATGAGGGTTGCGTTGCTCTCTGCTGTTGCCTCTTGCACTCCGGCATCAGTTCAGCCTTCAGGGTGAAAGAGCGATCCTCCTGCTGCTGAAAAAAAAAAAAAAAGTTTGGCCGCCTGCCAAGCCGTGGAACAAGTGCGCCTCCCCTCCCTTCCCTGCTGTTTAACGTATTCATAGTTAGGGGTTTGGGCTCGGCTGTTTTTAAAAAGGCAAGGCAGCTCTCAAGTTGATCAGTCTGCTCAGAAAACTTGTGGTGGAGAAAGTACTGGAGTCCAAACTGAAGGGGAGAGAAGTTGAGATTTTGTGCAAGGAACTGCCTTGCTCTTGCAGAGGACAATATCTCGGGAGAAATAGCACATACATTTGAAATTGTTCATTTGAGCTCTTTTTGCGCGGTGCACAGCGCAAAGCCTCTAATGAATGTTTTTTTTTTTAAATAGATAGTAACACTGTTGGATAAAGACTCTTGGCTTTAGCTTTAAAAATCGGATTATCTGACTGAGGCATTGTGCTCATTAGACCAGTGTACTTTTCCCCCTCCTCTTCGCATTTGAGGTTTATGCTATAACTGAAGAGAACACCAACAATGTTTCTGAGTTTTTGCCTCTTGGTGACATTTATCTTGGGGCTGTCCGGGTGCTTGGGCTCATACGTGCCGTGCGAGCCTTGTGACCCGAAGGCGCTGTCCATGTGCCCTCCGGTCCCGGTCGGCTGCCAGCTGGTCAAGGAGCCGGGCTGCGGCTGCTGCCTAACGTGCGCCCTGTCTGAGGGACAGGCGTGCGGCGTTTACACCGGGACGTGCACCCAGGGCCTGCGCTGCCTGCCGAGGAGCGGGGAGGAGAAACCCCTGCACGCCCTTCTCCACGGCAGGGGAGTGTGCACCAACGAGAAAGGATACAAACCTGCTCACCCGCCCATAGGTAAGACGCGCACCGGCTGGCTGGCTGGCTGGCTGGCTGACTGACTGACTGGCTGGCTGACTGAATGCATGCTTAGGACCAAACGATGAAAATGTGTGCGGCTGCAGATGAATGCGCATCAGTGTAAAAGGACAACAGGGTCTCCAGTCTCCTCTGAGGATCAGGGTTTGATGATGTCCCATGTGGGGATCCACTGTGTGCTGTTGTGCTATTGTGTTATCTAGAAGGGATTTTAAAAAAAGAAGCCCCATAGAGTATATTTCATGTCCAATCAATTCCACAAAAATGTATGAAATGAGATTATTGGTCATTTTCCTCCTGTTGCCTCCTCATCCAGGGACCCCAGGTGGTTCCCTCTCCTCACCTCCTCACTGCTGTGGAGCGTGAGCCGGTCCCGCTGCTCTCTGACAGACCGTTTGTTTGACAGATGGTTTGAGGTGCCATCTGATTAACTTTTATCCACAGCCTTAATTAAACTGGCTGCAGGAGCTTATTCCTCCTGTCCCCGTCGGGTTTGCGTCGGGACAGAAATGCAGCCAGGACTGTCTCCGCGTCCAGCTGTAGTGCCGCTGCAGCGCTGAGCCGCTCGCAGTATGAATATTCATAGCGATAATAACACAAGGTGTACCAGCACTTTGCGGTTGTGCGGGCGGATCGACTCTCCGCTGCGGTGAACGCGCATGCTGTGTCCCGCCTGGCTGATCTGCGCCTCCAAGTGCGGGAAGGCGGCTGTCAAAATTGCGGTCCAGCAAGACCCAGAAGGGGCTGACAAGGATCCAGGCAGTCGATATTTACATGTTAAAGCAGCGCGGATTATTAAACGCGTTTCTCTTTAGAGGGTTCAACGTCTCTGCTGTTCCCCTGACGCAAATATTCTCAACCGAGTGAAAAACTTTTGGAAAAGCGGTCTGTGCATTACATTTATTGTATTTAAGTAAGAGGAAAAACTGTGGGAACCCCTAAAGTGGAGCCTATTCTGCAAATTGCCGCCTTTAATACCCACTACTGTAACAAGTGTCTGTCAAACCCCACTATTTGCCAGCGCACAGTTGGCTCTCATGTCTTTTTCTCTGTTTTGCGCCTTTCCAATATCATTCGCACCTAACTGCTTGAGACGTGAAATCTATCCCGGCACAGGGGAAAAAGGCGCACTGTGTAGATTATATGGGAAGGAATGAGGTGCCACTCCACAAACTTCGGGTCTTGTTTGAGCGGAATTTCAGATCTGCAGGCTACCCCTAGCGTGGTGTTTAGGGTCGGATTACCGCTAAACCTGCATGCGTGAGAGAGACGCGAGAGAGAAAAGAGCGAGAGACAGAGAGACAGACAGAGCTGAGCCAATTAGCCTTGAATGATTTAAGACATTTCTTGGTGTAGTAGAGAGGTTCACTGTCACTCAAAGTTTTAGCAGCTTGTCAACAACTAGATAAGTAGGTGGTAACCACAAAGGTTTTGGCTACACGCCTCATTCTATAAAATGGGCTACCACTGGGCTCATTTTGGCTGTTGACAGAGTCATTGGCTGTTTGCACCCAGTGAGCAGCCCTCACCTCTCCTCTTAATGACTTAACAGAACAATGTGGTTTGTCCCTGAATGCCATTGTTCCAAAAATACCCAGCAAACCTTCTGCTTTGCAAAGCATTGATCACTGACTGAAAGGTAGGCAATTAGTTCTCAGTGTGTGAGTGTGTGTGCCTGCTTCAAGTGTGTGTGAGTGTGTTTGCTCACATGTATACTTGGGCGGGGCTGTGTGGGTGTCTGGGTGTGCATTGTGTGTGATTGTTGTGAGTGATGGCACCTCAGGCAGTTTTGTCTCACTCTGGCTTCGAACACACACACAGACAGAACCTGACTTTTTTGTTGGCCCACAGAGGTAATCAGAGCATCTTTTCCTGCCTCTGGCAGTGCGTTCATTGCATGAGCGCTCAGTCACAAGGCAGTGATTCAACAGAATGCCTCTGGCTCCCTCTTTCCTCTGAAGGGCCTTCTGTCAAACAGCTCTGCTGTGATGGGCACTGGTGAGGTGAGCTTCTGGTTTCCTGTGGTGTGGGGTTGCAGCTGTCTGTGTGCTGCACCAGCTGAGCAAGGCAAACACAGGGAGGAGGAGCTCAAGTGTCTGCGACACTCAGGAAGCCATGAGAGCTGCAGCCTACTAAATATTGACTGGGGCTGCCAAACAATGGGAGAGAGGGATCTTTGCTCTCCCTACATTCCACCCCCCTCCTTCACTGCTCATGTAAAAAAGGAATCCTGGCCATCACTGTGCGTCGGGATTTGTGTCCCAACAGCGATGCATTAATTCACGTTTGCTCCTGCACTGTGATCCCAGGAGTTGCTCGGATTGTGAGGCACAGGAGGTGGTATGTGCTTTGGGGGCACTCAGACTTTAGCCCCCGTACGAGGGAATCAGCCCTGGAAAGCTTGCCAACAGATATGACTTCATAGCTCCTTGTCCCCCAAGCTTCTGAGAGGGCCTTATGTTTTAACAGATTGCTCTTTGCCAAGAAACAAAAGATGATTAGGGAGTGGTTCCAAATCCACAATACTCCACACACAGACAGAAATACTATGCCCCTTATTAGCATAGCAACAGGAAACCTGGTGCCTTGACTGACAACTTTAATACTTTACATTTGTCTTGGCTCTTGTGTAGATGTAGAGTTATTTCAGCCACAGCGACATTTTGAATAGTTAGTGGTTTTTTGTCATGTCACATGTCCTTGTCATTGATATTTACAGTCATGAGTAAGTCAAGCGACTGCAGACTTCTGATGCCTAATGTTTGCCAGAGAACTTCACATGGTCACACTGTTGCCTTCTCATTTCTAAGCACCATGCAGAATCCCTTGTCATCACATACTCTCAGTAAGCTATACAACTTTGAGAAACCCCCATCTGCTTTTTCCATGTCCTCAATGTCACTGACACAGCTGGTTACTGGGTCGTAGCTGAGAAAACTAAAGCAAGTGGTAAAGCGCTGATTCTCGCCGACCGTTCACTTAAACTAATGACAACCAGCCAACATACTCTGTCTGCTGTGGACGTTGCGTGCTCATACAGACATGCCACGTTAGATATAGCTCTCGTCACGTGTGGCCCCAGCTGCCCGACAGCTTCATGATGGGCTTATGCGAAAGGAAAGACTGTATTTGGCTTTCCATCCGTCTCACCTTGAACATCTGAGACAGTGCAGTGAAAGCTTAGCATGCTGCAACTGATCTGTTGCAGGTGCTAGGGAGAATTATTTGAAAGGTCATTTTGTCAAGACATCACATGAGAACTTAAAGAAAAAGCATGCAATTCCTAGAATATGCGATGCCCAGAAACTGAGAGAACCTGTTTTCTTAGATATGACATTGATACTATTGATGTGGAACTGGATTTGTCTGTGCATAGCATTTGGAGGTACAGTGTGGTCGCAGGGACAGTGTACAGCACTGGAGCTGTTGCTGGCAAGCACATAACCTCTTTGGCACACTTGCCTGATTTCTCCCAATAAAACTTTACAGTGGTATTTGTACAGCTTATTGGTCACTGACACCTAGCCTGCTGGTGGCAACAGCTGTGAAACAAATCAGCACTCTCTGGAGTCTTTCTACGCTAGGAGCATGTGATTTAAAAAAGCCAGGGATGGCCACATGCTGGGCTTTAAAATTATGTCACATATGTTTACACCTGACCTGTGTACTGTAATCTCACCTCTAACACCTGGTTACATGCTAGCATGGTGTGAGAAAGAACCAAAGTAATCCTGTGTCTACAGAGGAGGTTTTTAAATTTCAGATTGAAAGTGCAGTACAAAATAGGCGTCTTGGCCTTTCTTGGAAAACAACAGAGGCTCCGGTGACTTCTCTGAAATGTTGGTGTGAGACAAGTGAATCTTTTATTGTGCCCTGTTCCGGTAGGTAACCTCATCTTTGGTACCGAATAGTGTTTCCTCCTAAATACTTAATTATAATATTTAAATTGTTAAGGCACGAGAAAAAAACCATTCAATATCAGAAATATGTTATTTCAAATGGTGCATGCATCATGTTACGGAAACAGGCAGTTAGCTCATTCCCACTATGATTCACACCATTACATTGAAAACCCTACGAAGAAAAGTGTTGACCCCAAATTATTGTTGAAGTCAGTTCTTAGGCCACTGTGATGTTTCTTTTTATGCTGCTTGGAGATCATCTCTGTACAGTACATCCAGGAGCGCTCAACTCTCGCCAAAATAGCTGCTTCTGCCACTGGGGAGTTAGAACATCGTCACACCCAGCAATTGTGTTGTGGTGATGGTGACCCAAAAAGAGGTTGCGTCCGTCCGTGCGGCTTGTTGAAAACCCAAACCCAGATGTAGACCTCAGACCAAAATTAGGAATGTACAGTAGAAGGGCCATGTGCCTTACTCTGATAATGTACTTCTCACAGGGCTGGTTGCAACATGGATTGAGCATTTATTTGCACTGCAGAAGCTGTAAACAGGCCAGAAAGTTTGCTTACCTACAGCAGCATTTCCCTCTTGGAAAGATTTTGCATCCTCTCATAAGTCCTGTTTTTGCGATTTATAATCCTTGAATTGTTCTTGTTGCTATTTATACCATGCATTCAGAAAAGCAGGAAACTTTTTGATTGCAATGAACATATTCTGTGTGCACAATACCATGGGAACAGTTATTTCCTGCATTTTCAGAAGACCACGAGCAGGGTCAAACAGCAGAAATTCCATAGAAACAACAGGACATAAGGATCAAAACATAATTCATTTTACACTTGAGGGTGGTCAAACTAAATTATGGACAGAGGTCCATATTTTCTTCCTGAGCAACTGGTTTGGAATGGAGCCGATTTCAGTCACCAGTTTCTCAGTCTACTCATGTAACCAGGCTTTGTACACTGCTGTCAAGTCATGTGCAGAGGGTGTATCTTATTGGATTTGATGGATGAAAACTGTCACTAAGAAAATGCAACTGTCCATCCGTGCCATAATGCCTTACTCTAGTGACACTAACCTTTTCATTGTATCTGCTAATTATTTTTGCTATGCTACGTAAGAGTTCCAGCAGTGGTCACTTTGCCACAAGTTATTCCTTTGGTCAAAACAACCTAACTTTTGTGCTGCTGCACACACACACCCCCAGTGACTTGCACAACTCCACTGGTTTGTTCACACCTCTCTCTCTGCTCTAGAAACTGCAGGGTTATCAGGCCATGGCCTTGCTTTCAAATATTAAGTAGTGGAGACAGTCTGAGGCTGAAGGATGGTTTACTAACGTGCTGCTTTATATGACACAGGCCCTCAGGCTCATTTATCCCTACATTATCCTGTCCTACCCCCTGTTGAGATTAAACAGCACCTTTATTCACAACTCTCTTACATCTTGTAAAGATGTAATTTCAGATGCAGCACAGAGACTGACTTAATCAAAGGCAGGACATAACAAACGTGGTGTAATGCTGGGAAATCCAATGAAAGGTGAGAGAATCTATTGTCCAGGCTTTTTTGCTATCTAAATGGTATTATTATAGTCTTAAAGATCCAGTGGAGAGAAAAATCCAAAGAAGGGGTAGCTTATCTTTCATGCTTGGACTGATGCCCGTAAGAAACTTGGGATATTCATGAAGCATAATTGTGTGCAGATGTTAATTTTTAAACAGAGAAGTATCAGGTGCACCTCCTTTGGCTACTCTGCTCCTCTCGTCCTAATGAAATCTTTAGCTCGAGCAGAGAGAGAGAGAGAGATAGCAGCACAGCTTTGGGCTCAGCTGAATGGAAGAGCTGCACATGACTTGGCTCACTTGGCTCCCATCCAGCATCTTGGCTGAGTTTCAGGAGTTAAACACAGACCCTCTAAGCCTCCTTTACAAGCTGGGTACCCTGAGCATGGAAAAACTGAGTTTTTGTGGTTGCACCGGAGAGCCCACTTCAGAAAAGATGATTTTGGTGATTTTAGTGAGCGGAGGAGAAAAGAAGTCAGACACCATTGTCTGTGCAAACGCTACACAACATTTAAAATGCAGATAAAAATCTTTTTCTATCCTACATTTCTAACATCATTGTCTAATGAGACATTTTGTCAAAGTGACTGACTTGTAAGGTGAAGATAATTGATGTGCCATGGCTCAGACCTCTCTTAGGCTGGCCATTTATATTCTCAAATACGATTACACATGTAACAAGAATGCCCGTTAAAAAAACAGTCCTTATTTTCGACGGCATATTTCGTTGCCAAATATGTGGCATTTTAATCAAGCGCCCTGAGAAATTATTGGACTTTACAGCAGAAATAAAGAGTTTTTCCACAGTGGTCACATGCATGGTATACATAGGAATGCTTGTTTGACGTATTTATTTATAGCAAGTAATAGCCTCGTAGTCTGAGCGGGGAGACACAAGGACATATCTAAACACAAACCAAGGCCTGCCAAGTCATGAGTTGTGAGATTAATTTCAAAGAGACGGCAGTGCAGCGCAGAAGCCAAAGACCCAATTCTGGTAATCACCCCCCCCCCCCCCCAGAGACTCCAGACGCTCATGCTGTGTCAGGCTCTTTGAACATCAGTTTCTCGGAGCTAGTGTTCTTGTTACATCTCAGTGCCTTTCCCTACGGTGGCTGTGTACTAACAGGCCAGTCAGCAAAGTTATGGCAACTTGTTAAATCATATTTTCAAACTTATTCTCTCATGCCCCAATACAAGAATGGAAGTTGATTTGTCTTTCAGCAGCAGTTGGCCTATAGTCGGCAGCCAACATTCCTCTCTGGTTCAGTGCGTCTGGCCCTGTGCACCACGGCGGGTTTCCTTGTCAGATAAATATAACCAGGGTCATCCACTGGCACCATTGCTTCGGCCAGTTGGGGCCTGGCAAAGTCCCCACAATAACTCTGTACTTATGGTACAGCTAAGCCAAGGGGGGAGCTGAGGGCTTCTTTCTGTGGCCTCAAAGAACCTCTGGCTGGGGGTCTAGGCTTAAGAGGCTGAGCCCCAAAGATAGGAGGCTGTGGGGGTGGGGAGGTGAAGAGGGGGCTAGGTTAAGGATAAAGGACCTCAACCTGTGAACATCCTATCAAGTTGGACTTTCAGATCTCTGAGACTGCAGTGCCCCCTGGGGGTGCTGAAATGAGTAGAAGAAGTGCATAAAATGTGACAGAAATGTACAAGCATTTATATGAGTCCACAGAGCAACTGGATTTTCCTTAGCTTGACATTTGAATCAGTTTAATGTGGGACACGTCGCTATAAAGTTACGACACTCAGAGGCCTTAGTCCCTGTTGAAGTTTAGCAGTCCAGATAACGTGTTAGCAAATTTTCCAGGCACAGTGTAGGCAGCCATGCAAAATGTGATGCATATTTTCCCAAGTTGTAGAGGTCTGCACAAGTACGGACTTCAACTAACTTTAAGACCAACATGTCTCACTGAAATTCTGGATATATTCAGCTCTAACATGTCAAACATGAATGGATGTTCAGGAGTGACTTTTTTCTTACTTTTCATAAGAAGGAGGTCAGAAGGTGGGGTTGTGTGAGAAAATGTGAGTTTAAACTCCTGTGTTCGCTGTAGGAGTTCATCAGCTGTTGATCCGAGCTCCAGCCTCCCCTCCTCTATAAACAAATGGGAAGAAACAGTTGGTGGCACAAACCCCGGGAAAAGCACCTGGTATTGCACTTATGTGGGAGGGACTAAGAAGCTACAGAACTTCACATTTATTAATTATTTTTCAGTGACTGTAAAATATTGCAAATATAAATAATATCTCTACATTCTACTCGTTTTTCGTAATACTTGATTATAGGTCTATGATGTCTGTTATTAGAGCAAACATTACCCTTTACAGAGACATTTTACATTCCTGAATTTTATGTTCTCTTTGAAATAAAATTTGAACGCTCGCTTTCTTGTAAAATAACACTGGAGATAAAATAAATATGGTAACATTCCAAGTTATGCAGTGAGTTTTGAATACAGATGGAGATCTGTAGTTTGGTGTAAAGCATTTTAGTTGTTACCAATAGGCAGCTAGTCTTTGTCTTGTCAATGACCATTTTACCAGAAATGGAACAAAACATGGGACACAATTATTGCACTGTCCCACCTTGCACTTGATTACATCTAAACACCAAGAAAGATCTATGGTGAACATAATGGAGCTTTTAGCAGCTAAAGAGACAGATTTCCCTCGGGTGTTGGTGGAGACCAAAACAGAGCTGAAATGAGACTGAATGTTTGACTTTGCTGCATGGACAGAAACATGACTCCAAATGAATGCTAACGCCGCTAACTGTTTGCTAGCATGTAATATGTTAATGTTGCGTTTACAGCTTGTTCTGAGTTGGAGCTTTAAGTGAAGCAATTCTATCCAGTCCATTCTCTTCATTTACAGCAGATGGCAGGCACCACTTGCCAGCCAGTGCCAAATACTTTCTCACATTATGTTTTATTCTATAATAAATTATCTGCTACACATTGGCAATTAAAAATACACATATAAAAATGTTAATGCATTAATGTGTAGCTGCGACTTGGTTATAGGTTTAGAAATGTGACATTAATTGACCATTTTTTATTTTCTCGGTGCAGATCGTGAGTCTCATGAGGACGCAATAACCACAGAGATTACAGAGGAGCTGCAAGCAAAAGTGCCACTCCTTCCCAAAGACATTGTGAACAGTAAAAAAGTCCATGCGCTACGCAAGGAGCAGAAGAGGAAGCTCGGCAAGCAGCGCTCCATGGGCTCCCCCATGGACTACTCCCCTCTGCCCATCGACAAGCATGAGCCAGAATTTGTAAGTGTTCGATGTCAGTTTGATCCTGTATCATTTTTAAGGCCAGTATGTGTAGAATTTGAACATTTCTGACTTTAGTGACCCCTAGTGGTAGGACACATTTATTTTGAGGTTTGGATTTAGGATGGTGTGTCTGTTCCTTTGCTTAGCCTTTGAACCACCTCACACAGCTGAACACGTTGTCAGCACAAAATAACCTCTATTGACTGTGTTGCGTGATCATATCTCTGTGCTGTCTTTCCCCAAAGGGTCCTTGCAGGAGAAAACTGGATGGGATCATTCAGGGAATGAAGGACACTTCTCGTGTAATGGCTCTGTCTTTGTACCTCCCCAACTGTGACAGAAAAGGATTTTTCAAGCGCAAGCAGGTCAGTTTTCTTCAGAAAACTCTTTGCACTTCCAGACACCCTTTGTCTGTGCATCAGTATCTTGTTTAGACTCGTTTACTCTTTTCCCCACCATTCAAAGTACTGTACCTTTAACGTTCGGTCACACCAGCAAATACACCCACGACAATTTGTGGCGAAATAAGTTATTTACAATCGCCAGATCAGTGGATTCACTTGAGGGGGTGAAGTAAACTTTAACCTTTTCTTTCAATAGTTTACTGATAGTTATGAGACTGGAGTCAATGATAAAAAAATATGTCCGTTCAATAAACTGTTTTAAAAGCAAGCCAGTTTGAAGTTTAGTTTGAAGACCTGCTGTAAGATTGGAATTTCCCCATTGTGGGACTATCTTATCTTATCTTTTATAACCAGGATTGCGACTGACTTGTGCTAGCCAAGCGGCAAATTAAGCCAACATGGAAATAACAAAGACTGCAGCCTGGCACATAACATGGTTTTGGTTTCTATAGCTAAATTACCCTGTTCATGACAACTATATAGGGATTTGTCTGTGTCACACATTTAAATTATATCAGGGCATAAAGTTATGCATAATTAAGGGCATGGCCATTTTAAGTGACAAGTGACAAGTGGGTGCCATCACAGTACTGTTAGCTGTTTTCAGTAACCAGGCTTCATTCAGCCCGGCTCAGGTTACCCTCACCACATTTTCTAACCTGTATACTTGTTTTCATTAAAATTCTAATCTTGTTTTCTGGCCCACAGTGCAAGCCATCTCGCGGCCGCAAGCGGGGCATCTGCTGGTGTGTGGACAAGTATGGCGTTCAGCTCCCTGGCACGGACTACAGCGGAGGGGACATTCAATGTAAAGACCTGGAGAACAGCAACAACAACGAGTGAAAAGGGGCGGACCA